GTTTGAGATAGAGACAAAGTGTAAATGAGACAAATATTGAGAATGACTGGAAATAAAAATATATTAATAATAAAGAAAAATTAGACATAAATAAACAAGTAGTGTTACAGAAAACAACAGCAGAAACAAACAAACAATACATGTGTTGTTTTATGATCCTTGCGCTATGTTTTTTATTAATTAGCTGTGATTGTTATGTGTTGTAAATTAACCTTGTATTTAATGTTTTAATAATGTGTGTCTTCTAATTCAGTAATCATCTAGTTCTTCAAGCCAGTGGGAGAGGATCCCGCTGGCTGTCTCTGTTGTCCACTGTATGTTATCAGGTACAGTTTTGAAATCCTCTTCCGGGAATGCTGGAAAATGTGTCAGGTGGTTTATTATGTAATCATTAACTACTGCCAAATTTTGTTGTTGTTCTAGTGGTAAAAGTGGTGGGTAGTTAATGACTGGGATGACTATGGCGGCGAGTGAGCCCTCTTGAACACTGTTCTAAGTTGTTTTATAGAGGTGCTGTGTGGATCCTGATCCCTGTTGTTTAGGCCCACCGAGAGGATCAGCAATTTGGCGTTGCTGTCAGTTGGTGTTTTAGTGGTATAGTGAGGCTCCCGGGTAACTGTCAGCCTGGATGTAAGGGTGGTTAAATCTGGGGATTCTACTTATGTTAGAATCCCCCAGTATAGTGATTGGTTTGTTTAGTTTAAACTCCCAATCCCGCAGTTTATGGTTGTCTCTGGTCTGACGGTACGTGGGGTCAGAGGCTGTGTCACCAGTCGGTGTGATTTTGGAGTTAGTGAGGGGGGATCAGAGTTGGAATCTTGGTCTGTCATGTTGACTTTAGGACCTTGTTTACTCATCATTTTATTCCCCTCCTTGTGGAGCCGCCTCCGAGTCTGCGAGGGCGCTCTCCCGGTTTTGGTGGACCCAGGGCGCAGGCGCAGAGAAGTGGAAAATGCCATCTGTGACCGCCTCCGGACCAGAGTCTGCATTAAAGCAGGTAGATGTTCTATTGCTACTGCGGGACTGGGAGCCCTGTATGTCGTTATTGTTTTTATGAGAGAGTAATTATTTCTCCAGGCCGACAGTCCTCCGCTGGAGCCGTGGCGCTCACCGTCCTCTGGGGGCAGCGCTTGTGAGGGGAAGTGGGAGGTGAGTGATATTCTGTGGCGCGGATTATGTCCACAGGCTGTGAAAAGGAGTGGATAAATTGGGAATAAGAGGAATTTGAGTTAGTCAAGTGGATGGAGAAAAATAAATCCTCATCTGACTGACAGAGAGGAAGAGGAGAGGAAGGGCAGGAAGCGGATGCTGTGGGGAAGAGCAGGTCATGTGCAGCAGTGATTGTGTGAGGATCCATTTTATTTCCATAGCGTCTATGTGCCCATTGTGTGGCTACTGTGAACGTTAACTGGTTCCCCGGGGTCTTTGTGAGATGTGTTATTGTGTTTGTATAGTGTTTTAATAAAATGTGCATTTTATTCCACATCCATTTTATTGTGTTTTCTTTTATTATGTCTGTTGTTTCTTGTGTGGGAGAAGATGGTTTGATAAATGCAGCCAGTTTAAGTGTCTGTCCTATCATCCCCACTGGAAATTCTCCCTCCTCAGTGGCTTGCTGTATGTTATCCCTATGATGTAGTGCTTGTATAAGTTTGAAATGTTGTTTTGCTTTTATTCTGGTGGAAGTGTCTAGTGCTTGTTTAATTGGTGTATGTGTGTTTGTGTGTGTGGTGTTGTTTGCTCCGTGTGCAGTTCTCCCTCCGCTTCCCACCCCGTTGTGTGTAGAAAAAGAAGAAGAGGTCCTGTGATTTACAGCCGTGGGTCCACCTGTTCCCCCCCGACCTACCCAGACGATTCGTGCCCGTCCGACGCTTCTTCAGAGGGGTTTGAAGGTTAGGGTTAGGGTTACAGTACAGAGACGATATGAACAATATTGACAGTTTGCCGTTTGGATGGGACATCCTCAAATATTTTGCATTGAAGCATGACGTATTTCTGAGC